CATTAATCAGTAGTTTTTATTATGGTTTTGTGGGGTACAGTTAAGGGTAGGTGTACAATGACGTTTCATTCAGGCACCCTGAATTCATATTTTTATAAACTAAAATCTTTCTGTTGAATAGACTGCCTATTTCTAATCCAGCTGTCTAAATCAAATTTTAAGGGCTATTAATTACACAAGGCAGTTTACCTCTACTACATAAAAAACATCTGTTCATACAGAAACATATTTCTAAACTGCAATCCCTACAACAAAAATAAAAATCTTCAAATATCTCAATAAAAATTTTATCACTCAATACCAGCCTGGGCAACTTGGCGAGACCTCATCTCTATAATAAATCAAAAATATTAGCCAGGCATGGTGGCACACACCTGTATTTCCAGTTACCTGGAAGGCTGAGGTAGAAGGATTGCCTGAGCCCAGCATGTCGAGGTTGCGGTGGCCGTGAGTGTGCCACTGCACTCCAGCTTGGGTGACAGAGTGAGATTCTGACTAAAAAAAGAAAAAAGAAAGAAAGAAAGAAACAAGGCCAGGTGCAATGGCTTACACCTATAATCCCAGCACTTTGGGAGACCGAAGTGAGAGGATTGCTTGAGCCTAGGAAGTTTGAGACCAGTATGGGAAACATAGCAAGACCTCGTCTCTACCAAAATATTTAAAAATTAGCCAGGTGATGGGGTGCACACCTGTAGTCCCAGCTACTTGGAAGGCTAAGGAGGGAGGACTGTCTGAGCGCAGGAAGTCAAGGCCGAGGTGAGCTGTGATCCTGCCACTGCACTCCAGCTGGGTGACAGAGTGAGATTCCAACTAAAATAAGTAAATAAATGAAACAGAGGAGATAGCCATCCTTAAAAGATGTTAGGATCAGCCGGGCTCGGTGGCTCAGCCTGTAATCCCGCGCCTTTGGGAGGCTGAGGTGAGTGGATTGCCTGAGTCCGTGAGTTCAAGACCCGCCTGGGCAGCAAGACCTTCTCTCTACAATAAATCAAAAAATCAGCCGGGCGTGGTAGTACGTGCCTGTAATTCTGGCTACTCGGAAGGCTGAGGCGGAAGGATCACCGGAGCCCAGCA